AGAGAGAACTGAGTTGCCAATCTCTATTCCTAAGGTCAGCAGGGAGAGGACAACCAGGGGAGCAGAAAGCGCTATAGTCTTTTTTTAGTTTCCTTTAGATAATTGCATACAACAGCACTGCCTCAGCGTCGCTTCTGTCCCCTCTTCCTTCCTCCACTCCAATATTCATGATCATTTAAAAAGTATTATGTTACATATGCATGTGTGTTTGTACACACATGATCATATGACCCACTGAGTTCATTCAGCTTTTCAGCGTTTTAACGTCTGAGATTGGAGGGCTGACTACTTGAGATGGGAAACCCCATGAGGGAGTTTCTCCATGAAAGCACCTGATTCTCCAACCCTTGGGAAGGATTCTACTGCACCAGTACTGGGGTTTCTGTTAGATGATTCATGACTCCTGCTGTGAACGTTATCACCACAAAGGCTGTAGCAGCTTTAAAGTGTGTTTCTAGCAAAAAGAGCAGTAATGAGCATGGCTGAGGAAGTGTTTGAGAAATGTGATGTGGGAGTTCTTTGCTCCTATTCCAAGGAATGTTATAGCTGAGTCATACATTCCCTTTACTTGAGAATTGTCAGGGTTCTCCATGCTAATTTCTAGTGAATCAGTGTTTCCCACTGCCTAAATCTTGAGAACTTTTGTTTTCAGATGTTTTCTGGATCTGTCATTTGAACTTGGGTAAAACCAAATCTCAAAGTCATCCTTTCATCACAAACACTCTGAAATTGACTTCCTCTGCTTGGTGTGTCCTGAGCGCCCCCTGATGGTCCTGAGTTCGCTTGCAGAGAGAATCCCTCAAGAGGCTGGAGCTGTCTATTGGCTACATCTGTGTGGATGGCCTAGGTTACAGGCCATGCATAGCCTTTGGTTAGAGCTTCAGTCTCCACAAGCCCCTCTGCACCAAGGTTAGTTGGCTGTTGGTCTTGCGGAGCTCCACCCCCTCCGGGTGTTTTAATCCTTCCACCCACTCTTCCACCAAACTCCCTACACTTAGCTTAATGTTAGGCTCTGAGTCTCAGCATCTGTTTCAATCCTCTGCCCAGTGGAGCCTCTCAGAGGACAGCTATGCTAAGCTCCTCTCCGCAAGCATAGCAGGGTATCATTAATAGGGTCAGGGTTTGCCTCTTTCCCTGGGGTGGGTCTCAGGAGGGCCAGGCATTGCTTAGACATTCCCCCAATCTCTGCTTTATTTTTGTCCCTGCACATCTTGTAGGCAGGGTAAATTTGCAGTAGAAGTTTTTGTGGGTGGGTTTGTGTTCCCCTTCCTCCATTTGGAGTCCTGTGTATTTAGAGAGTGTCCTCTTCAGTCTCACTAGGAGTGTCAGCTAGAATCACCCCATTTCCTCCCAGAATAATACCTGTCTTAGCGATCCAGCTTGTCACAGAGATGCCCCCACCCATGGTTTCTCTTCTCTTCTCTGGACACTCTGTTCTCCTGCCCCCTGCTCTCCCCAGGTCTTATCTCATTTCTCTCTGCTCTGTTTCCTACCTTGTTCCCTCTCTTCAACTGCTTCTGCTGTCTGTTCTAGTTCCCCCTCTGAGTGAGATTTACTCATCCTCCCTTGGGTCCTCCTTGTTGTTTATCTTCTTTGTGTCTGTGAGTCATAGTATGGTTATCCTGTACTATATGGGTAAAATATACTTACAAGTGAGAACATTCCCTCTCTGTCTTTCTGGGTCTGTGAGTGCTCACACAGGGTAATCTTTTCTGCTTCCTTTGCCTGCATCCTCAGGAACAGACCCTGGTTAGTTCCACCTTCAGAGGATTTTCTCAATAGTCCAACAGTTGCTGTCTGCACACTGGAGAGAAAGAGAATGTAGTAGGGGTGTGGTCCATGAAATTGGATCTCAGCAGGCTCAGAGCAGCACTGGAGGCCTGGAGCCTCCTGGAATGTCATGGTTAGTCTTGTTGGAATGCTGGAGAAGATGGAGTCAGACATCAAAGGTGGATGGGAGCATCAGGAGCAACAATAGATGGAGGAAACAAGGACAGGCACATCACTCAGACAGTGACTCAGTTTACACATCTGATCACCTATGGGAAGGCCACTGTAAGGGCGGGTCTTCTCCTCTCAGCTAATTCTCTGTGGAAATATCCTTGCAGGTGTTCCTCAGAGTGCATTTCCTGTGTTGATATGAAATCTTTTCAATTGCAAACCAAACCAACCATCACAAATCCAGGCCTTATTAATTTGACACCAACCATTCCCTCCTGTCAAGCTTACATTAGACTCTGACAGTGGAAAGTTCATGATTCTCCTCACATGGCAGCCCTACACACACAGAAGTAAATTGCTCGAATGAATTCTTCCAAAATGATAGGAATGTTACCTGAAGTACACTTACTCTTTTTAGGTTCCACAAGCTAAAAAAATACTACAAATTTAAAAACACTTAAGTATCAATATGAACTTGATTTCATAAGACAGGATAGAGGACTAGGAGAGAAAAATGAAAACAGAGATATCTGCCTAATAAGTGTGTATCCAAAGCGTAATCATTAGTACAAAAAACAAAAGATCATTATTGCCAGTTAGAATAGTAGCTCCTATACTGTGTCATGTGACCATAGTTATGTTTATGAGCATCTTCTACTATGCATTCTGGATGTTTTTGACCATAAGCAATTACCTCAGGTGTTCTTGCATCTTATCTGGAAGTTTAAACCATAAATTCATTATGAAATTTCTGAGCCAGTTGCCCTCTTACCTAGACTAGGTTTATTGTAGTTTTACACTGATTCCCACTTAGGATATGTTCTGAGTCTCAAGACGGAAAAAGGTCCCCAGTTTTATGAGATGCTTTGGCCTTTGATGGTGGCTTCCAGACAGAGTCATTTCTGCCTTCATCAGTGAATTCTACATTTTGGGGGGAATTGTAAGATATTATTATAAAAAACTTGCATCCAAGATTATTCATTTTCATGATAACGCATGTTCCTACAACCTTAAATATGAATCTGATCACCAGGAAATCATCAGAAAGAGAGGCATCCCAGAGAAACAGATCAGTTATGTTTATTCCTGTTGTTGGGTTGACCTAGATGAAAAAAAAAATTGTTCATCTTGTGTGCTGAGACATACCTACTGATACTGAGTATCTTTCATCAAAGCTTGTGTCCTGACCCCCATGATGTCCTATCACCATGCCTGAAACAGGACAATATGTCCTCAGATCTCATGGTGTTCAAGATGAGGTAGGCACTGCTTTGGGATCATCTCTGGAAATGGTGAATCTTCCTTTCCCAGAGGAAGCATATTCTGAAGTGACACCACTAACTGGGTTTTTAGTGAAGTCAAACAGCTGAAGATCATTTCCTGAGGTGTCAAGACCCAGTTCATACAGTAATCACTGAAGGCAAGTCCAGAGGATGAAGGGGAGAGTATCATGGAACTCCAGGATGCACCAAGCCTCAGTCAGACTCCACAACCTGCACCTCACACCAGACATCTACAATAGTAGAGAATCATGTGTTCACTGTCCCTCTTATTGAGATCCACTGTCAGTGCTGATCACTTAATTGGAAGGCCTAGGGATCTCCGGTTGGGTTTCTCTGCTGTGGCTGTGCATCAGCTGTGGCTGTGCATCAGCTGTGGCTGATGCCTGGGCTGCTTTTCATGAACACAGTGCAGCCATCTCTCTGTGTCCTTCTGCCATAAGCAAGGAAGTGGAAGCCTTGGGGAGAGGAATAGCCAGGATAAAAAGATCTATCTCCAAATCTTTAGATTTTAATATATAACCTGAAGTAATCTAGAAAGACAAGAAATCAAAAATGGAGTGTGATCTTTGTTGTCTTCCAGAACCTGAAGGTAAATTGTTATTTTTGAAGACACCAGGCACTGTGGACAAAGGACTTGGAAGAATATAGCTGAAATAGTCGTGGAATCCTCTTGCCGCGAGGACAAGCTCTCCTAGCACCAGAAGGTCTGTACAGACTGTTAGGGGAGAAAAGTGATCAATAGAAACACAAACCTTGAAGCCTGTGAAATACAGCAAGAGCTGGTCCTTTACCCAAAGTAATAGCACTTTTGTCTTTTGTGTATCAAGAGTTTAATGCCAAAGTCTACTTGGACTTCAGGCCAATTCAATAGGAGGGAAATAATGCTGTAACCAAGTACCTGTAACTGGAGAGTTACAGAACTCATTTTTACAGTTATTCTAGACAAATATAATGTCTTTTTATATTTTTAATGAAAATGGCTTTTTCATGCGATATATTCTGGTTATGCAGAGAACAAGAATGATCCTGGGATGTTCAAATGCAGCTAAACCTTCTTCAGTGCAAACCCTACACCTATGGCTCACAGAACTTCCTGGAAGAGGGGGCAGAAATATCCAGAGGACTAAGAAGGCACTGTGAGAAGGCATCTCCTATGTAACACAGGAACGCTGCACGCATGAACCCTCATACTGCTTCCTAATCTAGATGAAGAGTGCAGGGGGACATCTCACAAGTCCCAGCCCCTAAATGAAGAGCTACAGGTAGCAATGGCTGCTGAGAGTGGGGAATCAGTGGCTTTCAAGGACAAGCTCCCTAGTAGTTCATTCAATCCCGAATGGACTGCTCTGAACACCTGTCCATACCCAGAACTATGCCTGTGCTCAGTAAGTAGACTAAACACACTGAAGAACACTCACAGTAAACTATTAATTAAGGGTGAAGAAGACCTGAATCTGAGAAGTGACGGATGTATGTGAGAGTAAGTTGAGTGGAAACATTGGTGGATACAGTATTCACATAAAAAATTTCTCGAAAAAATGTATTTATGATTAAAAAAAATATCAACAAGAAACTCTCAGCTCAGTTCCACTGTCATCCTTGGTGGTATGAGTCCAGTGCTATCACTGAATGGGAGGAACCAAGAATCCAAGGCTTCCTTCCTCTTCCAGAAGTGCAAGGCTGGTTTTTATGAGCAGAGGGAGGTCTTACTTGTATTTCTTACTGATGTATAATGAGCTCTGAACTGACACCCTTGTACCTGGTGTTGTGCTCCCCCTACCGGTCCTGAGTGTTCCTGCAAGAAGGTTTTTGTCTGGGTTCACACTGAAGGTGCCTCACTGTGTCTCTAACACAGTAATAAATGGCGGTGTCCTCGGCTCTTAAGCTGTTCATCTGCAGGTAGAGGCTGCTTGTGGAATCGTCTCTTGAGATGATGAATCTGCCTTTCACAGACTCAGCATATTCTGTTCCATAATTATCAGGTTTGTGTTTAATTAGAGCAACCCACTCTAGCCCCTTCCCTGGGGCCTGGCGGAACCAGTCCATCCAGTAATCACTGAACTTGAATCCAGAGGCTGCACAGGAGAGTTTTAGGGAACTTCCTGGCTGCACCAAGCCTCCGCCAGACTCCACCAGCTGCACCTCACACTGGACACCTGCAAACACAGAATCCTCTTAGTAAACCGTCACAAAGGTCCACGGTCCCTCTCACATCCACTCACACACTCAGTAGCTCTTATCATACATTACCTTTTAAAAGAAGAACAAGGAAAACCCAGCTCAGTCCCATGTTCTATATTCAGGGCTGATCAATGAATGTGAGCCCAGAGCGACCTGCCTTTGTCAGAGCTGTAGCATCAGGGCTGGTTTTTATGAGCAGAGGGGAACTTAATTTGCATATCTCTGTGCTATGTCATGAGCTGAGGGGTGGGAGCCTTAGAGGGCACAGTTAATGGTGCAGATGTCTGTGATTAAATAAGGGTAAAGGTGGTGTTTATGACATCAAAGTATCACTATTATCCTGAGTATTTAACTCAGTTGGTAGAAAAAAACCATTTTTATTCCTGCCTGAGCCCTGTGTCTAACTACAGCACTGCATAGGCAAAGAAGAGGTGGAAACAGGACGGTCATATGTGTAGTTATACTTGGGATACATGAGGAGTCTCAAAAAAGAAAGAGAAGGAAAAGGGAAAGGGAGGAAAATGAATCACTTCTTCATATGAATTTTATTTATAAATAGTAATATCAAATTGTGGCCTTAATTTGTTCTGCTTTGACATGTCAACTCCTCTGATTTCTTAGCAGAAATTATCACACATTTTCATGGGAAAAAAGACAAGGTACATAATTAAAACATTAAAAACAGGGTAGTGCAGAAACTTGTGCAGACAAAATTGGGTGTTGTTTCTGGTGTCTCAGATATTTTAGGGAACATTGTATACAGTTCACTGAATCATGAACACATACATTAAATCGAATTAATCAAATATTGCTGAGGACATAGATCAACAGTGTAATATTCCATCCATAAATCTCAAATTTTGAGCCTTACAAAAATAAATAAACTTAATTACACAAAGATAAATTCTCAGATTATCCTTCGATTAATAATAAAAACACTTTGAGACTTCTGTTTACCACTTTAGTCATACAGGGCTGACCTCCCATTACCTCCATGCAGGCTCAGGCCACCTCCTCCCCATCCCACCTCTTCTGTGTCTTCCCTTAGCTTCCTGGTTGGCCTGTTTCTCTCCATGCCATATCCTCCTGTCCCACAAACCCTTAAAACTTACCCTTCTGTTAGCAACATCTACTGCTTTTCTTTCTCTCACACACACATAAAAGATCCACATGGCCCTTCAGACACTTACCTTCTCTACACAACCAGGTGGTCCATCTCCTAACAACTCCACAGCCTATTCTCTTTCTATGACCTCCCTTCCCTTCCCATCATGGTGTCTCTGCTCCTTCCCACATCTTAGGCAGTCATCTCCATGACATTACTTCTCTGAACTTCTCAGTAGACATTGTTCTTGCTTATCATGTAGGCTTCCCACTCTCCAAGTTCTTGCCTCCAAGTGCTGCTAGACTTCATGGCTTTTCCAGAATCTTTCATCCCTAATCCTCCAACTGTGACTGTACCTTACAGGTGCAAGGATCTTAAAGGCTTGTGTCTCCTGACTCTAAAAGGCTCATGACTATACACCCTACAGAGCTTACCCAAAGTAAAGCCACCACACTTGAAGAGATGCACAAGAACGCAAGACAGAAGAGGACAATCAGGGGTGTTCTGGTCCTTGGATAATGACTGTTCATATAAACTATCATCCAGGTTACCAGTTGAACAAAAGAAAATAATGTGTCAACTCTCTCATGACTAATTCCTTCCTGAACATTGTACACAAAAACACAAAGAAAATAGAGATGAATTGAACAAAAGGAAAGAAAGACTCAACAAACCATTTCAAATGTAGGAGTCTCAGATAAAAATGGAGTTATTACAGCTATAAGTCAGAATATCATTAAAAATTATTGTGAAAACAAGAAGAAGACAGAGCAAGGGGACTATAGAATAACAATTAGGAACAGGAAAGAAGTTTTTTTTTTAGTTTAATAATAATGATGTATTTTAGTTTAATAATAAAAACAGAATAAGGAAACAATTTTGAAAATTGTAATAGAGCTTAAGTGACCTATAAAGCTATATCCATCAGAATAGCACATGAACCTTCAACAGAAAGACTTGCATTCAGGCAGGCCTTGAAAGATGCACTCCAAGTTCTTAAAGAACAGTGACCAACACAGACAATTTCATACAGCAAAACTATATGTCAAAATGGAGGGTAAAGAAACTTATATTCTCTAACCCAGTTTCACCCAGAATCATAAATAACGGAATGCTCAACCTGAAGAGAATGAACACAATAATGGTCAGAAGGAATGAAGAAATAACTCCAGAAAAGTTTCTCCAGAGTTCTAAGAAAACACCACAAACTACAAAACAACAAAAATTATTGCATGCCTACCAAAAATAGCAATGCTGAATTCTTTCACAATAAAAAGATTCAGACTAGCAGAAAGGATGAAAAAAAATTGGATGATTCTTATTGATGTCTTGGGAAACAGATATCATCATAGCACATGGCACCTTAAGTTAAAGGTTGTAAAAAAAAAAAAAAAGGACCCACACAAATGTAATTAAGAAACAAACAAACACTGTAATTCTCACATGTGAGTGAATTCATATCATTCCAAAACTAGTTAGATGAGATAAAAGAGGCATATTACATATGTATATGTCTATGTGTATGTATAGTCTCATATATATTATAATATATACACATATACTCTTATTTATATAAACTCTCATATATATGGCTGTCTGAATTATGAGCTTTGGAATTGTGTCTCCATGAGACAAAATTGTCAGGTCCTAGTTTTCCAATAGAGGCTCAGCTGGATCCAGCAGGAATAAAAAGTCCTTGACCCAAGGTCTTACAGCCACTTGGCTGATGCATCCCCAGGACATTGAAGAGTCTCTTTCAACACAGTGGCCTGAAGAGCATGATACCAAAATTTCCATTACACACCCTCCTCTTTCTTTACAAAATTGCTTTACATATACAAAGACTATGAAAAAGAGTCCTGTGAGGCCTGATAGGCTAGGATGGAAGAGGAGAAGGTCCTCCACTATCAGTGGACAGGGGAAGCAGCATGGGAGGAGATGAGGGAGGGATAATTACTTAATTATCAAGTAAGAATTACATTTACAATGTCCCATCTATTCATATTTGAAATCCTTGGAAAGAGTTTTCCATTGTCTATCCTATCCTGGTGAGTCCAAAGTTCTGTACCTAAATCACTTTCCTATCAACCTGAAAGAAAAATCAATTTAGACCTTAGAACATCCTTTTAAGCTTAAAACATTGTCTTTGTCCCTAAACAACTAAACTTAATTGTGGCAGACTAAGACTATCTAGTCTTCTACCTCATCAGAGACCTTAGAAGGAAATAATATTACCAAGTATGTAGGAAATGTAGAGCAAACAGCTTCCAGAAGTATAAACATGACAAAGACAGTTGTTTTTTCAGTATCCTTGGGGCATCCAATCTTCAGCCTACTGGCCCAGAATATCTGAAAGGCGTTTCTGTGGCACAGGAGTTTTGAAGGCCTGACCAAGTGGACAGTCGACTTCCCAGTGTCCTGCTTGTTGACTTTGCTCAGACAGCCTGCCATCAGCAGTCGAAGGGCAGGTTTTTCTCCAGTGGCTGTCTTGCCACAAGTTTTTCTATGATACCCATCATCTTCTTTGTATTGATTAGATGTGCTACCAGGAGCAGATGTGTCTCTCTGCCAGAAAAGCCTTTTATTATTAAAGTATGTTTAAGTGCATTGTTCTGTAGATCTCTGAACTGTTTGAAAAACTTCTATCTATCTATCTATCTATCTATCTATCTATCTATCTATCCATCTATCTAGAACAATGTTGCTTGTTTCTAGCTATGTACTATCTAACCTTGTAACCATTTAACCTTGTAATCATATACAAGAAACCAAATAAAGCTCATTTCTCTAATTAACTGAACTAGTATATAACAAGACTATAAGTAAGATTATTTATAGGGGACTAAGTAATAATTTTCACCTCCAATCATCCTGAATGGTTTGCAACAGTTAGCCTTCATAAAACTAGAACATTACAGCACATTTTCAAATAAATTTCATATGTATAATACATTAAGCAATGGTTGAAGAAAACAATCTTAAATTGATATCAATATCCAATAATCCATACCAATACATAATATTTGACAGTAGTAGATTCAGTAATCTACCTTTTGTCCTATAACTGTACTCACCCTCCTTTTTACCATTTCCTTTTTTCCTCTTTTAGAGGAGATATAAATAAGTGAAAAAGAAGGATAGAGGGGAGAAAGAGATCACTGATTACAACCTTCAAGTTGTTTTTTTTTTCCTTTGTCATATCCAATTCATAACCCACCAAATGACCAAAAGCATGCACCCCACATTTCCTGGGAATGGGAGTGTTATGTTCTTACTGTCTGTGGGTAAAAAAAAACATCATTTTAGGTACCCTTAAAATTATCATATTGACCAGATGCTGGAAAAGCTAGCTGTATCTTTTCCTGTTCTGTCTCTGAGGGATTTTTGTCTAGTCTCCATGGGATGGATCATGTGAGCTAGCTCTTTTGACTTGCACCTGTATGTAGATTCTTGAGCACACAGTAACTGAGGTAGTCTATGAGGCTGAGTCATCTGCTTGTTTTGTCTTTCTCCCCTCTATCCTTCTTTTTTTTCCTTTCCTTTTCTTTTTCCTTTCCTTTCCTTTTTCCTTTTCTTTCTTTTTCTTTCCTTTCCTTTCCTTTCCTTTCCTCTTTCCTTTCCTTTCCTTTCCTCTCCTCTCCTCTTCTCTCCTCTCCTTTCCTTTCCTTTTTCCTTTCCATTCCTTTCCTTTTTCCTTTCCTTTCCTTTGCTTTGTCCTTTCCTTTCCTCTTTCCTTTCCTTTCTTTTCCTTTCCTTTTTCCTTTCCATTCCTTTCCTTTCCTTTTTTCCTTTCCTTTTTCCTTTCCTTTCCTTTTTCCTTTCCTTTCCCCTTTCCTTTCCTTTCCCCTTTCCTTTCCTTTCCTTTCCTTTCCTTTCCTTTCCTTTCCTTTCCTTTTCGCTTTTGGCAGAATGGCCATTTTCACTGCTAATCCTACCAATCCATGAGCACGGGAGATCTTTCCATCTTCTGATATCTTCTTCAATTTCTTTCTTCAGAGACTTGAATTTTTTTTCAAACAGGTCTTTCACTTGCTTGGTTAGAG